CGGTCGCGCATATTGACTGACCCGGGTTTGCGAAGACCTGCGTTGCATTTTTTTCTTGCATTGTAGTTTTTTGGTTTTCTGCTGACCCGGGTCTGATTGACCAGGGTTAGCAGATCCCCGACGGGGTGGCATTATTACTCCCCTGTCATTGCTACGTTCCCGAACCTGCTCGCTCCCCCTTCCACGCTCAGGAGAAAGGTGTTGCCGCGATGGTGTCCAAGGAGTTCGGGGCGGCCACCGTCGCATTCACCATCGCCCTCGCGCTGATGCCGCAGGCTGGCAGTTATAGCCCCGCCCTGGGTTGCGGCAGTTCGTGGAGACGGAGGGGGTATCCGACTCTGATGAAGCCGTGGTAATGAGATGTTGGCGGGCTCGGTCGCAAATCATGGGAGCCTGGCGTACCCTGTTAATTCCGTCTTCATAGCGCCGATTAGCATCGGTTAGCGTCGATTAGCGTCGATTTAGCGTCTGTTAGCGCCGACTTAGCGTCGATCAGCGTCGGTTCGCAAGAGCCGATAAGATGGTATGGGAGGCTCCCATGAGTTGCCGCCGAAGGGTAAGCCATGGATGAAGCGGTGGTAACGGGATGTTGGTGGAGAGGGTGATCACGACCACTCTGGGCGAAGGTCGGTTCCGAACCGCGCCCGTTTCCCGCGAGCTCGGGCTTCACGACGGAGCGCACAGCCGCACAGACGAGGCTGTCCACGCAGCTGGCCGCCTGCTGACCCGTCGCGCGAATGTGCCACAGAGCCCTCATCAACGCCCGCACCGCCTCCAAGGAAGCGCAACAGCTTGGAGGACCAAGTCTCGCAAGTGGTCTTACAACTCCTTTGCACTTCGCGATCACCGAGAGCGTCGCCAGGCGACGCCCGCATGGTCCTCGGTTTTGCTGGGCGGACCAGAAGCTGTGATGGGCCTCTTGCCCCGCCGCCGTCCTCCGGAGCAAGCGATGCTGGGCCTGCGCTCGCGATGATCGGCATTGGCGGTTGTCCTGTCCTGTCCTGTCCTGTCCTACGTGGTGAGAAGCTGGTGCTTGCTACGACACGAAAGTTATGTAGACATGATTTGGTATGATGATGCTATTTCGGTTGTTCCTCCGCCGTCGCCCTCGCAATCACACGCCCCAACGTGGTGCGCCTGGCTGTACCTGATATATCATCCTGTCTGTAGCTCAGCCCAGCGTAAGCACCAATCTAACACTTGTGATTGCGAGTTCGTTTCCTGAGCAACTTGCGCCACAATGGCTACGGCTTCTCCTCCTCCTATTCCCGTCCCCTCCCTCCCTTGGGGGCCAGGGGCCCCTGGGTCCGATCCATCGTGGAGCGTTTCTGCGACTTCTTTATCCGAGGCTTTTGTACATGTCCACCGCCAGGGGAGCCGTTGTGCCAGGGCACCAGGAGGCAGTCGGCATGGATATCTGCCCGCGGGTCCCCCTCGGCCCCGAGAATACTCCAGGCGCTTCGCGTAACCCCACCAGCCCATCCAAAAGCGATGCCCAGGCGAGTTGCGCTGATCAGGGATGTGAAGGAGCGTGCAGTGGCGTGGGGGCGTGCACGGAGACTTTCGTGTAACGCGCGTTCCGAAGGCGTTTGGCTTGATGAAGGATTCCAGTCCCCTTGCGGCGCGGGTTCCGCCCACAGGTTCTTGCAGGCTTTCTTGGAGGTCTTTTTGGGCGCTCTTGGGGCCGTCTTGGGGCGATCTTGGTTCTGTCTGGGGTTCCTCTTCGAGCCATCTTGAGGACTCGGGAGCCCATTGGAAGCGAACGGGCGAGAAGGTTACAATCATTCATGGATTTTCCTGAGGACAGATTTTAGCTTTTTGGTCCCCGCGGCCCCTTGGGGCCATCTTGGGGCCTTCATGGGGCCTCTCGGAGGCATCTTGGAGGCCACCTTGAGCAAGCTTGGACCATCTTGCGCCATCTTGGAGGCCATCTTCAAAGCATCTGGGGCCCTCTTCGGCCAAAAGCCTGCCAACTATGCTCCCGAAATGTCACTCTTTCAAGATCCGTTTACCTTCCATTGTTGGTCAGAACGGGGGGGGGGGTAGTTAATCAGGGTCCCCCCCTCTGCAGCTCTCAAAGTCGGCTTTCGGGGCTCTCTTGGGGCGCTCTTGGGCGTTCTCAGGGCTGTCTTGGGGCCATCTTGGCCCCCTCATGCGGCCCTCTTTCTGCCCTCGTGGAACCATCTTGAGGCCTCGGGAGCCCATTGGAAGGGAGAGTGCGAGAAGGCTACAATCATGTTTTTTGGGTGTTGCAGAGAGCTTTTTAGAGATTTTGGCATCTTGGGGGCATTCTTGATTCTTGGGAGGCTCCGACTCCATTTGGACCCGTCTTGGACTGGTCTTGGGGTCAGCATGGTGGACACCCTCTTGTGCTGTTTTGTACTGTCTCGGGCCATCCTGGAGGTCATCTTTGGCTCTCGGAGGCCCTCTTGTAGCCATCTTGACCCCCGAACCACCCTCTGACACCTCGCCTTCCCCCCCCTCCAGGTCAAGGGGAAATGTGGTAAGGGGAGGGGTAAACCTGAAGGGCAGGTGAGATGTCCCAGTTTCCGCATCCGCAGCCCTGCCGTGGACTTGGCCTCGCGCGGACGTGTGCATGTTTTGTCGGCGAGAACCATCGAGGAGCATCTAGGATCATCTTGCGAAATATAGGCGCACGAATCCGAGAAATGCATGGGAAATTGACGTCCGAGCGATAGCGAGCTGGCTGTCACGGGGCAGCTTCCCCCCGCGGGGCGATGGACACGTGTACATGCTCCGCCCTCGCACCCCGAGAGCCGACGCCGCGAAGCACTTGCGACGTCGCTGGGTCTCTTTGGAAGCTCATTCCTAACATGCATGACGAACTTCTTTGCACTTCTGTAGAGGCTACTTACTGGAGGCCGCCGAAGGCCGCTGACGGCTGCTCAGGGCCGCGGAAGGCACCCACAGGCTGCCAAACGGCAGCTACAGGTCACTGCATGCCGCTGATGACACACCAATGGCCGCTCAAGGCTACTACAGGCTACTGCACCGAGGCGGTATATGTTAGACGGAGCTTCCAACATGATTAACCTAACCCTGGACCCCATCTTTCTGCTGCATTTTTCGAGCCGTACCGATCTGATGTGGTCCAGGGGGGCCCGAGGCTGGGCGACCGTGCTTTGCCTGAAAAAGTTGAAACGTCCATACTTCAGCGGCCTCCAGTCTCGGATGGGGAGGAGGAGCAGGAGGAGGAGGAGGAGGAGGAGGATGATGCGGTTGCTGCTGATGATGATGATGCTGATGCTGCTGATGATGATGATGATGATGAGGAAGAGGAGGAGGAGGAGGAGGAGCGAGCAGCGAGCAGCGAGAAGGCGCGAGAATGAGCGAGGAGGAGCGAGAGGGAGGAGGAGGAGGAAGAGGAGGAGCAGGAGGAGGAGGAGGAGGCGGAGGAGTGGAGCGAGGAGGAGGAGGAGCGAGGAGGAGGAGGAGGATCAGGAGGAGGAGGACGAGGAGGAGGAGGAGGCGGAGGAGGAGGAGGACGAAGACGAAGAAGAATAATAATAATGATAAGAATAAGAATACTAATAATAATGATAAGCAGAATAATAATAAGAAGACTAATCCGAATAATAATACTAAGACTCATACCACTACTAATACTAGCACTAATAATGTTAATACGAAAGATAATAATTATAATAATAATAATAATAATAATAAGAGTAATAGGAATAATAAGAAGACGACGAAGAGGAGGAGGAGGAGAAGCCAGGATGGGGCGAGGAAGATGAGGAATTACAGGGATTACAGCCTTCGCGTAGCGAACTCCACAAAGCGCAAAACCAGTGAGGCGAGTACCATGTCTGCGCCCCGCCGCGGCTGTTCACCCCAAAACGGGTCCCTCCACGCCACGGCTCCTGTCTTCAAAGCGCAAAGTTCACTCAGAAGCGAGTCCCTCGTCTGCGCCCCGCCGAGGCCGTTCTCTCAAAAGCGAGTCCCTCCAAGCTTCGGCGACAGTAAAAAAAAGGGCGCACGTGCGCCACTGGGCCTGGCGGGAGCCCATCCCCGCCTAGCAGCCCGAACCACCCGCCAGCGGGGGGGGTGTGACGGGGAATGGACGGTGGCCCGAAGCGAGGGAGGAGCCGGGGAGAGGGGGGCCCCCAGGAGGAGGAGGAGGAACCCCACATGGGACGAGCACAGGGACCCCGCGCCAGGAGGGACCTGGACGCGGGGGGGAGCCCGAGCCCGCCCCACACGAGGCCCCCCCCCCCCCAGGGAGAGCAAGCCGGGAGAGAGAGGCAAAAGCAAGGGAAGGAGAGCCGGCAGCCGAGGGGGGAAGCCAAGGAGCGAGGGAGAGAGGAAGCGGCCACCGCCCAACCCCCGCCAACCCCCCCCCCCAGGCATGGTGGGGGGGATTTTAGTGCACCCCAGGGCCCTGGTCGAGGCGAGGAAGATGAGGAGGAGGAGGAGGAGGAGGAGGAAGGGGAGGAGCGAGGAGGAGGAGGAGGCTGAGGAGAAGGAGGATGAGGAGGAGGAGGAGGAGAGAGAGCAGAAGGAGGATAAGGAGGGGGAGGAGGAGGAGGAGGAAGAGGAGGAGGATGCTAATGAGGAGGAGGAGGAGGAGGCGGAGGCGGAGGCGGAGGAGGATGAGGATGAGGATGATGAGGATGAGGATGAGGATGAGGATGAGGATGAGGATGAGGATGATGCTGATGCTGATAATGATGATGATGATGACGATGATGATGATGCTGATGATGATGTTGTTGATGATGATGATGATGACGATGATGATGCCGACGATGATGATGATGATGTTGATGATGATGCTGATTCTGATGATGACGATGATGATGATGCTGCTGCTGATGCTGATGGTGCTGATGCTGATGATGATGATGATGATGCTGATGATGCTGATGCTGCTGATGTTGATGATGCTGATGATGATGATTGTGATGATGCTGCTGACGATGATGATGATGATGCTGGTGGTGATGATGCTGCTGCTGTTGCTGATGCTGCTGCTGCTGATGATGATGATGATGGTGATGCTGATGATTATGATGTGGATGATTATGATGCTGATGATGGTGATGATGATGACGGTGACGATGTTGATGATGCTGATGCTGAGGATGAGCTGATGATGATGATGCTGCTGATGATGATGATGCTGCTGATGATGATGCTGATGATGCTGATGATGATGATGAGGATGATGCTGATGACGATGTTCATGATGATGCTGATGCTGATGCTGATGCTGAGGATGATGATGGTGATGATGATGATGATGCTGATGATGTGGATGACGCTGATGACGATGATGTTGATGCTGCTTCTGATGATGATGCTGCTGCTGCTGATGATAATCATGCTGATGATGATGATGATGATGATGTTGATGATGCACATGCTGATGATGATGATGATGATGATGCTGATGCTGGTGATGATGATGATGCTGATGATGATGCTGATTCTGATTATGATGATGATCATGATGATGCTGCTGCTGATGATGCTGTTGATGATGATGATGCAGATGATGATGTTGATGATGATGCTGATGATGCTGATGCTGATGCTGATGCTGATGATGATGATGATGATGATGGTGATGCTGTTGATGATGAGGATGATGATGCTGATGATGATGATGATGATGATCCGGATGATGATGCTGATGCTGCTGATGATGATGATGATGTTGATGATGCTGATGCTGATGAGGATGATGTTGCTGCTGATGATGATGATGCTGCTGATGATGATGCTGATGA